AATTATAAACTTACCACTGAATTAAACCTCACATCAACAGAATTATACACTTACCACTGAATTAAACTATTTTCCAATGTTTCTTTTCTCTCAATTACTTTATCTAACATATCCGTGGTGGGACGGAGGGCAGAAGCTGTGGGAGGAAATGAAGGGCCACTGTATTCTGTAGGAGCAACTTTAACACTTCTGTTAAACTCCAACACTGGTGCAGAGCATTCAGGAATTTCATCATGTTTTTCCTCTTCCTGGTAACACAATAAGAACTAAACTATTATATTCAAGTATCTGTTCAACATGTGCCAAGCACAGGCAAAGAACTCAGCTGTATGAATTAACCAACATTCACAAGCCAGCCAATAAACTTTCTCCTTAGGTGGTATGACATTAAATATGCCACACGCACTATGCTTATCACAACACAGACATAACACTGGAGAAAATGCATTTATACAGTCTTTTTTCAACTCAATGTTCAGGCTCTGGGTATGGTTCAGTGGTAGAACACTTGCCTACCCTGAGTTTGATCTCACATCACAACATACAAAATATTAAAATAAATATCAATATTAATTCTGTATAGTCATGAAGCTAGAAACTTTGGGGCATCTGGCATTCAACCTTATGAAATATCTGGAGATTTATGAGCTTAACTGTCACAAACATTTCTTCATCCTATAAGGACCTGCAATTTACATTTAAATACTTTATCTTACACATGACTTTCATCATCATATCACACCCCAAAGTTATTTCTCTGCTGTTTTTTAACTTTTCCTTATGAAAAATGTCACATTTAAAAATAAACAAAATAATGCTTAGGTACTACATGTTAAACATAAATGATATGAACTGCATTTACCTAGTCCCCAGCTCAGCAATTATCAATCATGGTCAACTCTGCCACCTAAGCTCTTCACTCCATCCATTTTCTCTCTCATAGATCATTGTGACCCAAACTACAGATGCAATTTTATCTGTAATTAAATAAGCATCTCAAAAATATCCAGCCTCTTTAAATACCACAGCTCATCACTATCTTGTGAGGAATAAAGCCCTCAGACAGAGAGTGCAAGAACCAGAGTAGAGAAACCCTGTCAGTCAACCCCAAATCCATTGTGAGTTCTGTAACTGTTTCTTCCACTTATATGTTGAAAAACCAACTCTACTAACAATGACAGCATGCAAGAACTATGAAGACAAGTAAGGTTCCTAGCCTCAAAACACTGTATAGCATTCACATGGGGAAACATGTCTCAAGTACAAATACAGTGCCTACCTCTGCATAGTCTAAGAATTAAATTTTATTTAAAATATGTGCTTGTTTTGTGTGTGTGTGTGTGTGTCTTGAGTGTAAGTGTGTCTGAGTGTAAGTGTGTGTTCAGCATGTGCAGGAGCCATCAGAGGTCAGAGGAAGGAAGTTGGATCCTCTCCACTGGAGTTAGAGGCAGTTGTGAGTCATCATGTGGGTGCAGCAATGCTCTTCACTGAGTCGCTTCTCCTGTCCCTCATTTTTCATTAACAAAGTTAGTCTTAGTTTGAACGTCAAAGAAATGTGAAAAGTATTTTCACTAATGCTAAATGTCTTATTCATAACATTAAAATAGTCTCGTATGTGTCTCCATGTTTCGTGTGTTTTATGTTTTCCCATCTTTCTTTCCTGCTTTATCATTTCCATCATTTTCATAACTGACAACCATATGGTGTTTTCCTCAGACTTTTGACTATGCATAACCTTTTCCCAATATAAACCTAACGTTGCTTCCAGAAATCAAGAATTAAATGGAATGGGATGGAGGAAGGGAAGTGAGAGAGATGAAGGCAGCAGGCGTGTTCCAGGCAAGGAACCCTGGACTAGCATTAAGTTTATGAAAACAACACTACACTACAGGGAAATAAAACAACAAACCTCATAATCTTTAAAAGAAATTTAAATAAGCATATTTAAAATTTAAAATCTATTTAAATCAAAATAAAGTCATGTTTCTCAAAGGTCTGCAACATAGTTTTGACAGTCAAAATACATTCAACCAAAAAATATTCGTAAGAAAATGACCTCCCATGTCTCTTAGCTTTGTTACCTGAATAACATCGATTACTTCATCAAAGTTAGTTCCTGGAAGGGACACCTCTTCTTCATCCACCTTCATAAATTCTGGAGCCTAAGGAAACATTTTAGAAAGTTTTATTGCCGTCAATTTTAAAATATATATAATTTCTCATATTTTCACATATAATATAATCTTAATATAGCCCTGTTATTTTAATATTCTGTTCAGAAGTGATTTAATTAATAAATGAGATACAGGTCAGTCCTCAATCTATTATCTCTCATTTCAAAAATGATAAAAGATTATATGTATAATTATTGTTGTTGTTGTTGCTATTGTTGTTGTTTTGCTTTTTCAAGATAGGGTTTCTCTGTGTAACCTTGGCTGCCTTGGAACTTGCTCTGTAAACCAGGCTGGCTTAGAACTCACGGAGCTCTGCCTGCCTCTGCCTCTTGAGTGCTAGAACTGAAGACATGGGCCCCTACCACCTAGCCAAAAAAATTATTTTTAATAAAAAAATATTTTTTTGATTATCAAGGTAAGATGTTTCATACCTCTTAACTCCACAACTCAGGAGCCCATGGCAGGAGAATTACTGGGAGTTAAAGCTAACAGGGCTACTTAGTTCTGTGACAGTCTGGGCTGCAGTGTGAGACCCTGTCTCACAAGACAATCACAACCCAGTCTGACATTTAAACTACACCAACAAATACAAATGTGAAGAAATTTACATTTCTTTATTTTATTTTGTGTATATCCACAATGGCATCAAAGCCTTCCTGTGGAGGGTCAGAGGATAATTACAGATCAGTTTTCTCCTGATATCACATGGGTCTTAGAGATTCAACACAGGTCCTAAGGCTTAGCTCCAAGTGCTCTTACCCACTAAGCCATAGCCCCAGACTGCAGTGGAAAACTTAAAGAACTATCAACAGGCTAGTTTTACACACTGAGGGAAACACTTCCACATGTAGCAATGTACGTGTATACATTCACAGACTCACAAAAGTCAGAAATAGATTCCAATCATTTTAAAAGTAAAGAAAAACAGGCCCAGCAAGATGGCTCAGTAGGTCAGCAAGTAAAGTAGGTCTTTACCTGGCTTATTCTTGTCAATGAGCCAGACGTGTGGTTCTGAAAACCACGTTAGGAAAGAACTCCTGAAAGTTGTCTTCTGACCTCTACATGCACACAACCATGTACGTGCACTGCACACATATGTGCACTGCACACATATGTGCACTGCACACATATACACACCAAATAAAAATGTACTTTAAGTGAAAAAGAGATGGACTAGAGTGAGGTCTCACAGGTTACCAGCATTTGCTGCTCTTGCAGAGATGGGCTGGTTCACAGCATCCACACCAGGCAGTCCCAATTGCCTGTTACCCCAGTTTAAGGGAATCCAGCGCCCTCTGGCCTCTATGGGCACCTGCACAGACTTGATGCATATAAAGCCTCCTCACACAGCCCCACACATAAATTTAAGAAATAAATAAGTCTTTAAAAAATCTTAATAAAAGTAAAATTATATTCAAGGGCACTATCTAGGCCTTACTATATAAACCCTAGTTACTAAAAATGGCAACAGTTTCTCACTGAGAACAGTTATACATAATCCAAAATATATTTTTTGTTATCATACATGTTCCAATAAACTTCTAAGAAAAACAAAATTACTTATAAAAAAAGTTAATTAGTCAGAGTGGGCATGAATTCCATTTAGGATCAATTCTAATACAGTGTTCATAATCATGAAAGATTTTTGAGCTCTGTCACCCCCACTCCCCTTTGACAGGGTCTCACTGTGTCAGCCTGGCTGTCCTGGAGCTGGCGAAGCAGACCAGGCTGGCCTCAAACTCACAGAAATCTTCCTATGTCTATCTCTTATATGCTGGGATTAAAGATGTGCAAACTGTGCCCGAATGATTCATGACTTTGGTTTCTGGTTTGCTTGTTTTCACTCTGAGCTGAGGTCTTATCACAGACATCTGCCTTATTCTGCCATCGTGCCCAGCAATTGTTTTTCATTCTTAAAAACTGTAAATTCAATGATCAATTTGGTATATTAGATACCAGAGATATGTTTTTTTAATATTTATTTATCTATCTATCTATCTATCTATCTATCTATTTATTTATTTAATGTATGTGAGTACACTGTATCTTCAGACACACCAGAAAAGGGCATCAGACCCCATTACAGATGATTGTGAGCCACCATGTGGTTGCTGAGAACTGAACTCAGGACCTCTGGAAGAGCAGTCAGTGCTCTTAACTGCTGAGGCATTTCTCCAGCCAGAGATATGTTACAGTGCTATTTTACTGTAATTAGTCATACTATCATTATTCAGAAGCAAATTAATACAAGAAAATGTATAGTTTTACATCTTAACTGAGATAAAATATATATTAATTGTCAGTATTAAAATTCAAATTCTGGACAGGTAAAGGCACTTGCAGCCAAGCCGGACAGCCTGAGTTTGAGCCCCAAAACCCACACGTGATAGAAGGAGAAAACAGACCCCCCCCATTAGTGTCCTCTGACCTCCCCATGCGGCATGCCCATACGTATAGGTGCACATGCACATACATACATATACAGACATACACAATAAGTAAATGTATAAAAATTTCACATTCCAATTTATAATTTTCATATAAATCAAATATTACCAAAGACATAGAAATTCTTCACCTGTGAAAGTCTCACAATTACCATGTTACATCTAAAATTATCATGTCCTGAATATTTATAAAGATCAAAGCATCTTCTTTAGAAATTTGTAAATAACATAACACTCATTTCGATTCTGTCATATGCTGAAATTATTGTTACGTGTTATGACTTATATAGCTATGGCTGGAAGTCACTCTGTAGAACAGGCTGGCCTCAAACTCACAGAGATCTGACTGCCTTTTGCCTCCCAAGTACTAGGTTTCAAAGTATGAGCTACCACATCCACCATAATATTTTATGATATGATAAGAGCTCTGCATGGAATAACAGTTAATGATAAGAAAGAAATTCTGAAACCTACCTGGATCCAGGTTTGTAGTGGAGGAAGAGAGGCTTCTTTGAGACTTGGTGATGGGGAAGCCCCATCAGTACTGCTGTATGAAATGCTATCAATATCCACACTAGGTAATATCTACAATAGAACAGAACATCTTGTTTTCTCTTTACCACTATGACTTAAGTAACTATCAAAACCAGACAACAAAATATGCCCTTTACATTTTTATTGCTACTAACAGATACTTTGAATTATGAAAGCATATTATACTAAGTATATGAAGAAAAACACAAAATCCTATCTTAAGATAGCTTCATTTCCATGACCTATACCTTTTCTCTGTTTACTATCCACTTAAGCAAGGTATGGGTTCTCAGCTCTGATTTTTCACTGTTATTAGGTCATAGTGCCTCCTCTTCATCCTCCTCCTCCTTCTTCTTCATTTTATTTTATTTTATTTTATTTTATTTTATTTTATTTTATTTTATTTATTTTATGTTTTGATCTTTTGAGATAGGGTTTCTCTGTGTGGCCTTGGCTGCCCTGAAACTCATTCTGTAGTCCAAGCTAGTCTCAAACTCAGAGATCTGCCTGTTTCTGCCTCCCACATGCTGGGACTAAAAGGAGTGTGCCATTACTACCTGGCTTTATCCTATCTCTTTGCAAACTTTATATTTTCAAATAACTGCATAATGTTAAAGAATTTTACCTTCCTTACTCAACCATATTCCTTATCGTCAGTTTTTCCCACTGTTACACATAGATCCCAACAACAACCCAACATCTTCATATATGCAGTGTTTTCTTCCCAAACTTTGAGTTACTATATCATGTTAGATAAGATTTTGATGAACTTCTGGGCCCGCAGAGCATGAACATTCAATAGTCTTTGTAATTACTGGGAAAATCCTATCCAATTTCTGTTTATATAGTCAAAAACACAATTCTAAGATTTATACAAGCATCAACTAAAATGAGCAGTTTTACAATAGCAACAATTACCTGGGAATATATTATCCTTTTTGTAAATTTTTATTATCTTAGCTACAAGGAAAACTTACATCTAATTTCCTTATTCTTAAATGTACTTGACCCTCTTGTAGAATCTCACTCACGTACCTGAATGAAATCTGGATTTAGATCTATGTTTTCTTATGACTTACCAAAGTCTTTGTATTTAAAAGCAAATCCTTTACCGGGCTCGTGCTGTCATTTGCTCTCACTGTATCCCGCCTTCTTTTGTAAGGTTCTTTGACATATATAACCTTTAGATTTTAGATGCAAATCTCTCATCCCTATTATATCTAAATTATCTTCTCCAAAATCCAGAATTTGCTTTAGTTTTAATAAAAAATTCAATGGCACTATCTTCAAATGTTTATGATTTTGTTTTTTATAATTTCAACTGGCCAATTTGGAACATATTTGCCACACAGTAATAACCTGAAGTCTAAAGCCAATCTTTTTATATGTCATTAAGATGAATACAACACACATTATTTCCCATATAACAAATCTCTACCATGTTACACATTCTTTCTTGACAATAAAGCTGATTCTGAAATCTCGTGCATTGGTCTAGTAACCAGCAGTGGTGTCATATAACCTATGCTGCCTGGCCCTGAACCTGACCTGGGGTTAAGGATGATCTCGAACTCCTAACCTTTCAACCTCTACCTCTCAAATCTTGGCTCAAATAAGCCACATGCCCAGCTCCTAACAAAACTCTTTTCTAAACCCTTTATTCTTCCAGATATCAAAATTATCCTAAAGTTCAAGTTTAAGAAAACAAAATCTCGTGTTATTTTTAAAAAGTAGCATTTCACTAAAATTGCACATTAAATTGGGAAGAACAAGTAACTTAAATAAGTTTTTGTGTATAAAAATGAATTCTTTCTATATTCATTCATGTCCTATGATCAGATAAAGTTTGAGATAATGATTATATTAGTCACACCCTCCATTGTTTCTTTTATTGTATGTTTTGGTTTATTTATTTATTCACTTGTTTATTATTGAGGCAGTGACTCCCTGTATCGCCCTAGCTAGCTAGTGAGCTAGATGGACCAGGCAGCCTCAAACCTGTGGCAATCTTCCTATGGCTACCTCTTGGGTCCTTAGACTACAGGTATCTATTATCATCTATCTATCTATCTATCTATCTATCTATCTATCTATCTATCTATCATCTATCTATCTATCTATCTATCTATCTATCTATCTATCTATTTTAGGTATATGAATGCTCTGTCTGTATGTACATCTGCATGCCAGAAAACGGCATCAGATCACATAATAGATGGTTGTGAGCCACACCATGTGGTTGCTGGGACTTGAACTCAGGACCTCTGGAAGAGCAGCCAATGCTCTTAACCTTAGAGCCATCTCTCCAGTCCTACATTCCTTCCTTTTAAAGGTTAATTATAGTGCACTGTTCAACCATTCCTTTAGAATACTGCCCCAGGCCTTGATATGAATCACTGACTTAGGAGGGTAGTTTGAACACCGCAGAACAAGCATAGAGGCATTACATTAAGACCACAGTTTCACAGTAATAAAGGCACATCAGTGAAAGCAAGGTCTTTGTAAAGTTATGCAATGAACTGTAGGTTCCAATGGCATAAATTGGTTACTTTGGCTGTAACGGGTCTGCTTGTGCACCCTGGCATACCTGTACAGAGAGCTGGGGAGGATCCTTCTTCTCTGATTTCATTTCTACAACTGCTACGTTAGGTTTCTTGACTCCAGCTTTTACTTTTCGAGATGATGGAGGAATAGAAGTAGTCACAGTTACAGGGTGTGGCTTGTTTACTATGACTCCAGCAGGTGGTATGGAATCACTGTTACTTTGGGTTTGTCCTATAAAATTTAGGGTACAGAATGAGTCAACTGTTTCCAAGACAAAAGGAAAATCAAATTTAATGCCTGGATCTTTGTGACTGTTCTTGCTCACAAAAGGAAAGTGTCATCTTTCAATGTCCTCTCTCCTCACCACCACAGTCCACCATGTGCCCACCACGTCAGCTCCTTGTTATCAGTATACAATTCCACTTCACATTGATTATCTTAGAGCTTAAAATAAAGGTTAGTATCTGCCTATTAGAACATGCTCTATACTGTTGGTCTCATTTCCAAAAGTCCTGCTTGTTTTTTATATTTCAAAGTAAAGACTAAGGAGCTAGACATAGTGGCCCAGAGGGACACAGTCATTTCAAGGACCTCAAAGCCTCAGACCCCTGGGAAAATGGCAAAGTCTTCCCCTGGCTAGGCTCAGGAAATGTCAAAGGTTGCTCTCCTCCTTCAAGTGGAAATGTAGATAGTATGCAGAGAAAATGTCCACCTCTCTCCTCCCATGTCCCCTGGGTGTTTTCTCCCCTACAGAGATTGAACCCATCAAGATTAACGAAACCTGTCCCTTGTTTATCTGTATGTACTGCCTCTTTATTAAGGTCTATTCAATAACCCTAGCCTCTCAGTTCAACTGTATGTAATAAACAGGGAGCCTCCTAGGTGTAGAGGACTCTGCATCAGAGAGCCCAGTCCACTAGATCCCAGCTTTTCTGTATGTCGCCTCCCTGTCTGTCTTGTCTTCATTCTCTTGCTGACCCGGTCAAGTTCAAGTTCCCTGAGGCTATGCAAGGACACAGTACATGCCCATAACTCTAGCACTTGTATGCTGAGGCAGGAGGGCTGCTATAAATTTGAGGCCAGCCTAGGCTACAAAGTAAATTCAAGCTCATCATAGTCTAGTATGACAGACAGACAGACAGACAGACAGACAGACAGACAAAGTAGCCTTCATTTACACTAACAGTATACTCTCAGAGAAAGAAATCAGGCAAATTATTTCACTCAAAATAACTCCAAAACATTATGTGTTGAGGAATATGTTTAACCAAAGAAGTGAAAAGACTTCTACAATAAAAAAACTTCAAAACGGGTTGGAGAGATGGCTCAGCCGTTAAGAGCACTGACTGCTCTTCCAGAGGTCCTGAGTTCAATTCCCAGCAACCACATGGTGGCTCACAACCATCCATAATGAGATCTGATGCCCTCTTATGGTGTGTCTGAATACAGCTACAGTGTATTCACATACATAAAATAAAAAATAAACCTTAAAAAAAAATCTTTGTGCTCACTTCGGCAGCACATATACTAAAATTGGAACAATACAGAGAAGATTAGCATGGCCCCTGCGCAAGGATGACACGCAAATTCGTGAAGCATTCCATATTTTGTTAAAAAAAAAAAGAAAAAACTTCAAAATATTAAAAGAAGGAATTATAGAAGATGCTGATGATAGAAAGACATCCTATGCTCCTGGATTGACAGAATTAATATTGTGAAAATGACTATTTGTACCAAAATTCATTTCAGATTTAAGGCAATACCTACCCAAATTCCAATGTTATATTTCACAAGTTTAGGAAAGACAATACAAGAATTCATTTGTAACTACAAAATATCATGAATAGACAAAGCAATCCTATGAAGTAAGAACACTATGGAGATCTTACAGTATCCAATCTCAAATTATACTACAAAGCCATAGTGATAGAGACAGCCTGGTCCTGGCATTAAAAATAAGACAGGTAAACCAATGGAATAGAAGAGGACCCAGAAGCAAAATGGCTATGCTCACTTAATTTTTGACAAAGGAAGAAAAAAATATATGTGGAAAAGGATAGCCTGTTCAACAAGCGATGCTGGCAATGCTGCGGGCAACAGCAGAAGAATGCAGAATGAAGAAGAATGCAATTAGATTTGTAGTTTTCACCTTATACAAAATCAATTTCTAACTGGATCAAAGGCTTTAAAACTTGAAACACTGCAATTTTAAGAAAGTAAAAAACACAGAGAAGATACAATTCAAGATATTGAGGTAGATATAGCTCTCTCTTTTTTTTTAAATGCATGTGTGAGGGGTTAGATCCCCTGGAACTGGAGTTAGACAATTGTAAGACACCATGTGGGTGCTGGGAATTGAACCTCAGTCCTCTAGAAGAGCAGCCAAGTGTTCTTAAGCACTGAGCATTTCAGCTCACAAAAGAACCTACTTACTAGAGGACCAACAGCACAGGAACTAGCCCTAAGCATCAGCAGATGGGTCTACAGGAAAATCAAGTTTCTGTTCAGCAAAGGAATTGGTCAGCAGAGCATAGACACTCCACAGCACGGAGAACATCTGTACCAGCTACAGACAAAGGGCTGAGCTGACATTCAGAATTTACAAAGAACTGCAAAAATTAAATACCAAGGAAATAAAACTGTTAGTCAACAAATAGGAAAACAACTAAATAAAATTAAAAACAAAAAACAAAGAAAAACATGATCAATAAATGTTTTTCAAAGTGTTCAATATCTCTAGCCATCATTGAAATACAAACTAAAACTATTTTGGGTTGTTTTGTTTTTTCATAGCTGAGGACCAAACCCAGGGCGTGCCCTACCACTGAGCTAAATCCTCAACCCCCTAAAACTATTTTGGGCACACACACACACACACAAATCCATACATATATACACACACCCATACATGCATATGTATACATAGCTCCAAGTAGTTTAATTTTTATTTCCATATATATGGGATAGAGAGATGGTTCAGAATTTCAGAGCACTTGCTCTTCTAGAGGACCTGAGTTCAGTTCCTAGAACCTGCATCGTATGTCTCACAATCACCTACCTATACAATTCCAGTTCCAGGGGACTGAATGCCTCATGGCCTTCATGGTACCTAAACACAGGTGGTGCACATAAACTCACACAGGCACATACACAAACACACAAATAAAAATATATGTATTTAGGGCTGAAGGGGTGGCTCAGTGGTTAACAGCACCTGCTGTTCTTACAGAGGACCTGCGGTTCTGTTCCTCGCATCCAGTCATGTAGTTTTCACGCCTTTTGTTCTTGAGTAAAGGGATTATAGGTATGTGATATTATGCCAGCAGATCTGTCCATTTTTTAGAGATCTCATATAAGGAAATAATCTACTATTCTCCTAGAACATATGATCACCTAGCTTTTACTTATCACAACCTGATTCAAAAGTACGTAACAGTGCTTTAAAATATCTCTCCTCATGCATGACAATATTACAACAAACTTGACTTCTTGAATTATTATTATGTATGTCAATGGTATGTCAATCATGTTGTCGACAGCAATACGCCAAGAGAATATTTCCTGTAAATGAGATTACAGCAAGAACTCACTGTTAGGAGATCACTATTACCCTGCATAACCGACATTCTGAGGCTCTCTCCAGACATAAGAAAGTAGGTGATTGTTATAACTTCTGCTACTGATCACAAGCAATGAGGCCCCTCCTGCTTCTCTACAGCCACATACTCGTTGTTTCTTACCTAAAAGGATTGCCATAGGAACCAGATGGCCTTCCAGGGTACCTGAAACAGTAGGCATTTCTCTGCTTGGGCTGCACAGATACTGCTGATCAGCGTGAGGTAGTACAGTGATGGGATGCTGTATTTTAGAATCCATTTTCATAAGTGATGTAGCATGAAAGTCAGTTTGTGTTCTTGCTGACTTGACTTTGGTGCCTATAATAATCATCATTAGCAGATATTTAAAATTCAACAACTATCTATTTATTAACTAGCCAACTAGAAATAGAATTGTTTTTTCCAACAAGACGTCATCCAATTTAATATAGGGTCTCAAGTAGAAATAATACCAGAGGTTGGCAAACTTAATAAATGGCTAGACAAGAATTACTTTGGTCTAACTGGCCATGTAACCTCAGTTGCAACTATTCAACTCAGGTGACACTGGTAATGTATCTTGAAAGCAGCCATGAATAGTAAATGAACCTGGCTATGGTCAATAAAAATTTACTCATAAAAACAGCAGCTAAGGTGGTGGTGGTGCATGCCTTTAATCCCAGCACTCAGGAAGCAGAGGCAGAAGGATCTCTGAGTTTGAGACTAGCCTGGTCTATAGAGCGAGTTCCAGGGCAGCCAGGGATACTCAAAGAAACCTTGTCCCAAGGGGGGGGGGGGGGGGGGGGGGGGGAGAAAAGAAGAGGAGGAGGAGGACAAGGAAGAGGAAGATGAAGAAGAAAGGAAAAAAAATACCCGGCAGCTCATCTGTAGACGACAGTTTGTCTGTCCCTGATACACTCGTACAGAGCTACTCTGATATAAGAAAAATGTTGAAGAACATCTCTTTAAACTCACCAACTTTCCTTCACAATTCAAGGAAGTTAATGGTCACTTTTTAGAATAGAATTTCCCCCTGACCCCAATTCTCTCATTACACCTTTGCTTGTTCTATATTCTGAATAATAAGCCCTTATCCTTTGAAATTATGCACAATTAATCTAATTCTATACTTATTTAAAATTTATGGAAGTTAGTGTATATTTTTAATCTGTCTTATGTAGATTCATATAAATGTTATACTCTAAATTATCAAAATCTTAAAAGTTTGTCAAGCATGATGGCCCAGTACCAGGAGACTGAGGCAGGAAGACTGCTGTAAATTGGAGGCCAGTCGGGGGTACACTACAGAGAGTCCTTTCTTTAGAAAAACAAACTGAGGGTTGGAGAGATGTCTCAGTGGCTGAGAGTGACGTTGCTCTTGCAGAGGGCCTGAGTTTGATCAGATGTCCTCTGCTGGCTTCCGTGTGCATACATGTACATAAATGAAAAATAAAAATGAATCTTTAAAAAAGAAAAACGGCCAGATCTTGGGGCACACACCTTTAAGTTCAGCACTTGGGAGCCAGAAGCAGGCAAATTTGTGAGTTCAAGGCCAGCGTGGTCTACATACTGAGTTTTAGGACAGCCAGGACTACAAAAACAGTCCTGGTTTCAAAAAACAAACAAAACAACAACAACATAAAACAAATTAACAAGTGAACAGAACAAAACTAAAGTTTGTGTTATCTGTCTCTCTAGAGAAGATGAACTTCTTTTCTCTCACAGAGGGGAGAAACCACAGGGACCAGGCTTGAGGATGATGGCCCACTGGCTCGCATTGACTGCTCCCTTAAAAGGCTTACTGAGGCTCTGACAGGGTTTTAAAGTCTTAAGCTGTTGTTTTGGAAAGGTGGTCAAAACTCCAAATACAATTTTGACAAAAAAATCTCCAGTATTTAAGAAAAATATTAGGGCAAACATCATAATTTGCATGTCTTTAGAAATAGTATCCATAGGATTTATAGATAAGTGGATCATCAATCTCATCAGCCAGCATTTATAAAGGAAGGAGACCTGAGCCACAGCTTCAAATACAATTTTGACAATAAAAAATTGATTAATTTTTGTTGGCAAAGACTTTTTGGTAGCAAACCACAAAAGTGCCCACACACTCCAATAGCAGACACCGATGCCGAAGCTCTGAGTTTCCTCCCCCACTCCTCAACACTAGACACTGAGTGGAACGCACAGCAGTAAATAAAAGCAATGTTATATGTTAAGCTTCTCTGAGCGTCCTTACCTTTTACTCGCTCAATTACTCTTGGCCTCTGTGGCTTGGCCTTAGGAGATGGAGAACTGAACCTGAGATATGGTCCTTTCTTAAGAGTGCTGCGATGACCCTGATAAACCGGCTTCCCATATATCTGTAACATATAATCCTCGTCTTGCAAAGCTGTGGTTGACTTCGAGAGGCCCTAACAATGCAAAACATGTTTATTACTGTAAAAATAGTAAAATCTTCCATCTAGGAAACATAAAAGTTTTTACATTACTATGAATATTCTCAGTCCCTAAAGTAATGTTTAAAGACATTTTACATAGTAATTATGCTTAAATACAATAAACAGTCTTTAAATGATTTTATATACTCCCAGCTCCATTTTTAATCAAACTGCTATGGAAATGGGTTGGAGAGATGGCTCAGTGATTAAGAACACTGGCTGCTCTTCCAGAGGTCCTGAGTTCAATTTCCAGCAACCATATGGCAGTTCACAACCATCTATAACTGTAGTCCTATGAGATCTGATGCCCTCTTCTGATGTGCAGACATACATGCAGAAAAAAATATCTAAAATGCATAAATAAATAAATCTCAAAATGCCACAAAAATGAAGCATTTATCAAGCATCAGAGCCAAGCATTAAATTTAATACCTATCTGCTTGAAAATCCATGCTTAGCATTAAAAAACATTAATGCTGGGTTAGAATGTTAAAGAAAATCCCTCCAAGTATCTAGTACCATGTCTTGAACTCATTAGGCAGTAAATATAATTTTTTAGGTCTAAAACAGGACATACACAAAAAGATGGAACATGGTTTTCAGTACAATGACTCTAACTAATAATAGACAGCTGAATAATCTCTAGGCCAGTGGTTCTCAATCTTCCTAACACTGTGACCCTTTAAGGCAGCACCTCATCTCATGGTGACCCCTAAACATAAATTTATTTTGTTGCTACTTCATAACTGTAATTTTGCTGTTATGAATTGTAAACCCGATATGGAACCTCCAGAGGTCTCAACCCAAAGGCTGAGAACCGCTGCTCTAGATACACCTAGTATATACTGCGATCCTAAGTATGCGCTCCAAGTTAGGCATGGTGCTGTATGCCTGTGCTATCTTCCCAGCTTCCTTAAAACTGCCTGAGTTCTGGAGTTTGAGGATAACCTGGGCAAATATGAGAACCTGCCTCCTGAGAAACAAATAGCCAAAAATAAAAAACAAAAAAAGCATACTAAGAGGTCTTCCAAGGAGACAAGTACACATCTCATGTAGGTTTCTACACTACAGGTCCAGAATCTTACAATGATACAAATCTGATCTAGGTTTGTACAGCTCTTAAGAGTTTAAAATTTCTCATATTCATGTCATTATTTCTATTTTTTAGGAAATGACTGGGTATACTGTGGCATCTAAACACAAGGTGGGATGAATCTCCCTTCTTCCTTGTCTCTGTGGGACTGAGGCAGGCGCACTCCTCACATTCCTCTCTTTCTGTGGGCCTGAGGCAGGCACACTCCTCACAGGTGGACTTGTAAACTGCTCCTGCATTTGCTTTTGATAATGGCTTCTTGGAATTACAGATCTGTTCACCGTTTTGTCTTGGTTATTGGCTTTAATATCTCTACTCATAGTTAGAGCTTTCTTGTTCCTTTGATTCTTTGGATCAAATCTCTTTTGTTCATAATCTTTTCTTGTAAGTTCATCCTAAGGCAAAGAAAATTAAAATTACTTAAGCCAAAACAAATAGGAATGCTTTCAACACTAGCAAATATTGGAATTTATTTAGTATATAAACATTGCTTAGTACTTTTAAATGCTTTAAAAGTAAAGAACATTAGCTTATACATGAAAGAACACTTTCTGGAAAAATGAACAAAAACCTAAAGGACTCGAGACACACCAGTACATGCCTGCAACCCCTGAACGCAGGAGGCGAGAGAGCTCCAGTTGGAAGCCAGCATGGGCTGGCTACACAGAGATCCTGTCTCGTGAAACAAAAGTAAACGAAGCAATCCTAAAACTAAAATCCTAGTAAGTCATGAACATCCAGAGGAGGGAGCAGAAGCATGGGAGGAGATCATCACGATAGAAGTTAGTAACTTTAGAAGAACAAACTTAAATAAGCACATAATTTATAATGAAACTGAGGGGCTATATGTTAACTTAAATTATTTGAACATTTAAATAAGCATATTTACATGGAATTAACAGTGATGAAGACATATTCTGCTCACTGGCATACAGCCATAGGTCACTTCATCCTTTTATTTGGTAAGTTATACAGTGACTAGTATACATTTCTTACAAATGTATTATATATGTGTGTGTGTGTGTGTGTGCACGCACCTGTGTGTGTGTTTGTGTGTGAGATTGTAAGTAACAATGCTGAAAGCACTTTTTGTGCTCACTGCTGTGGAAGCTGAGCTGACACTCCCCTTGCTATCGCCATGAGTAAATATGTAAGCACACTGGAGGAAAGCAACTTCCTTGCATTCCTGGATAAAAGTAATGGTTACCTTGCCTTGTTCTACACCTTCAAATATACAAGACTTAAGATTTGATGTCTGAAGATATGCTGCACTTGTCATGGGTGTAAGAAAGATTTCCAACCCCCAGAACTGACTTTTCCATGAGTGAGAAGCTTTGGTGTGTATGCCTGAGTAAATCAATGCTTCTTAATCTGCTGGCCTGAAACACCTTTGCAGGTAGAATTTTGTTTTCTGTTTAGAGTTTACTAAATAAAACAGACACATTAAAAAGAAAAGGCACATCAATAAAGTGGATCTGTTCCATTTTTCCACAACATACCTGGATTTCTGCTGAAATGATTTTAATCCATTCATCTACTTTCTTTCTGATCCTAATTTTCTCTGACATCTCTCTACAAAAGAGATAAAAAAGAAATGTTCCTAAATTAGCCTTAATATACTGCGAACAGGACCAGGATCTGGTGAGTCTAATCTAGTTTTAAAGCTACATGTAACCCAATATCCTTCCTGAGAAAACAAAAAGTGATGGTATTCATTAAGTGTTACAAGAAAAATAACTGTGAAAAACTGGAGGAGTACAGAAAGAGGGGAAAATGAAATGGAAAACTGCAGTCAGTAACATGCCTCCATGTCTATCCACACCAGGTCCGACATCTTCAGAGGCAAGACGGGGCCTTTTCCAGCATGCAAATACAGTAAGCACAGAAAAGAGATGGGGGGGGGTCTGGAGAGAGAGAGAGCTCAGTGAATGAGAGCACTCACAACCATTCCTGACTCCAGATCCTGGGGAACATCTCTGAACTCTATAGGTACCAGGCACACGCATGGTGCACACACAAACATGTAGGCAAAACACTCTTACACATAAATGAATCTTTAAAAAAGAAAGTAAGTAAGCAAATCTAGCAGTGTCATAAATAGGATATGATGCCCACATCCTGTCTCACCTATTGGTAGCTAGAGCACTGATAAATGAATACATAGCAGCTCCATCCTTTGCACGAACAATAGCCTCCAGGTTTTCTTCTAGAACTTTTTTATTGTTTTGTACTCCTCTCAAAATCTTCGCAGCATCTTTCAAGACAGACCTTGTATCGGTTGTTTGGAGCATAACAGGATTATGTGGATGATCTGAAAGCCTCAATGTAATTGGAGATTGCTTTACCTTAAGAGAAATCGAAGGCAGAAATCTACTATGTTAAACTTACATTGATGGCTTTACTCTAAAGGAAAAGTTCTGGGAAAATGGCAGAGCAGTTCTGAGTAGACACTGCTCTTCCAGGGGACTGGAGTGGTCCAGCACTCACATCAGGTGCACCACCACCTGCCTGGTCTCTGGTTCCAGGACATCTAACACCCTTTTGGCTTCCTTGGGTATGTGTTGCATATATGTGTGCCCACACACACAGAGACACACATATACATACAAGTACACACACAAAAAAAATCAGTATTTAATACAAAGAAGAGAGAGTACATTGTTGGCTCATACACTAGAGTCAATATAATCTAAGGTTCAGCTTGTCCAAATGAAAAGTTACTGAATACTGGCATCCTTCTGTTTGGTTTGTTTTCCAGTTAAATAAGTTTTTACAAATATTATATGTAATAGACAGGAAATCCCAAGTAGTGCTAGGTCATCTGTTCATCAATAAAAGCTCTACTTGTGAAGAAAGCAAAACAAAATAAAGAGCAAGTTGCTCTAGATGCTGTGAATTAGATAAACAGGAGTGCTTCTATTAGTCAGGAAGGCAAAGGCAGGAGTGGTGGCACACTGCTATGATCCCTGCATGACGGCTATGGACCCCGGGGCCCAACCTTGACCCTAACTCTGAATTAGGACAGCTGTTCAAACCCTGACCTTGACCCTCACCCTAACCCAGAATTAGGACAGCTGTTCTAATCCTGACCTTGACCCTCACCCTAACTCTGAATTAGGACAGCTGTTCTAACCCTGACCCTGACCCTGACTCTAACCCTAAATTAGGACAGCTGTTCTAACCCTGACCCTGACCCTGACTCTAACCTTTGAGGCCAATTTGGTTTAAAATAAATTCCTAGATCATCAAGGGCTATATACTAAGATTACCTCAAAAGAACAAGAGGAAAAAAAAGAGGCTGGAGAGTTGGAAATGGTCGGTGGTACAGGTCTAGCCAGAGCACTAGTAGACATCATCCAGGGCAGGCGTCTGAACTGTTTTGCAAAAGGAACAAACAGACCTGACTGTTTTTCAGTGCTTTATTTTCACTCTTCCTTCCAATTGTTTTAATGACTTTTTTATTTCTTCTGTTTGTTTACACTATTATTACATTTTACTAGGTGTGTTTGCATACATACTGTAGCACACATTATCTGTTTGTTTCTGAGACAGTGAGATGTAGCACAAGCTGGTCTCAAAAATAGTAGGTATGTCAGGATGACCTTGAACTTGAACTTGTGATTCTCCAACCTCCACCTCCACAGTGCTAGGATTGTGAATGGACACCAACAACCCTGATTTCATAGTTTTTACCTCACAACTATGAATTTTGACACCATGCCCACTTTACTTTACCTGGAGCATGTCAATTGTTTGTTTCTTCTTCTGCCCAAGATCATAAACAACATCATTATACTTCTGCACAGGTACTTGAGCTGTTCCTTGTTCTTCAGAGGATGGAAATCTTTGTGAATGTAGAGTTTCAGTGCTACAAAAGAGAAGAAAATTTTCCTAAATTGTTGCAGGATATTTGATCACACTGTGAACCCTGGGATTGTGTTATTTACTGGAAAACAAACTATTTCTAGTTATGGTACAGCTCGGCCTTAGTACATACCTTTAACCCTCTGGCTAGAATACAAACAAGCCCTTAGTACACATCTTTGATCCCAAACAAGGTAAAGTTAGTTTGTAGAAGGAAGTACCCATGTTTGAAAGTGATGTCTAATTGAATGGTAGATAAAGTGACAAATCAGAGAAAGATTTGACAGAATAAGATATGCCCAAGTCTCACAAGAAGAGAGAGGAAAGGGAAGCTACTTAAGGGGCAGAGACAGTGCAGAGAGACACAGGGAGAGGAGGCAGTTTTACTGGGTGAGTTTTACAGAGGCAGGTTGCAGAGAGAGGACAAGCTAGACAAAATACAGGTGAACAGACGGTAGACAGAAAAAGCCAGAAAATAAATTGCCAGAATTAGTCTGAGGCCAAGCAGAGCAAAAAATCAGACTGAATCAGTCAGCTTGGAGAAAAGTTTGAACCACAGCTGAGTTGAACCAGCCAGAGTTCAGAAAGAACAAGAAACGGTTAACTTATTTAACAGTAAGACTCAAAGGCTGAAAACACTCTAGGCCTAGATTAGATTGCATGAAGGCTAGAAGCTTCCAGAACTAGGCCTAAGTCAGCAGGCTGAGGCAGTAAGCTTCCAAGATGACAGTTACATCAGGCACATAAAAGTTACTTTTACACTGAATTGTTATAAACTCAGTAAGCATTTTATGTGTCTGGGCTTTTTGCCTGCATGTGTGCCTGTGCACCATAGTCCATCTGGTGCCTGAGGAGCTCAGAAGAATGTGTGTGATCCCCTGGACCTAGAGTTACAGGAAGCTGTAAGTTGCAATGTGGGTGCTCAAAACTGAACTCAGGACCTCTGCAAGAGCAACAAGTGCTCTTAACCACTGAGCCATCTCTCTAGTGCAGAAAACACTTGATGACATGAATGTCTGACACATTCTGAGGTACGCACTGCTAAACAGCATTGTGCTAAAACCATACCACAGATTGTATCAGGTATAAACATAAAAACCAGAAAAATCTAATGAGATATACTTAGGTGCATCGGGCAAAAAGCAGAAAAGGTTCTTGCTTACAAGAAACTATAATTCAGATGCTCTCACAGAACAGAGAAGGAGTGTTTGAAATGCTGCTCCTACACAGGCAATGAGAACACTAAAAACTCATCAAAATCTGCTTTGTTTTCAGAACTCTAGAAATGAGAAGCCTGCAACAACGCAAGGAGAGTTTATTAAAGCAAAAGAATTGGTTCCGAGTTAGAGGAGCAAGCTATACACATTTGGTCTTCAGTTTTTTGAGAGCTGGTCTCACTATGTAGACCATGCTACCCTTGAACTCACAAGAGATCTGTGTGCCTCTGCTTCACAAGTGGTGGGATCAAAGGCACATCTACCATGTCCAGCCTGCACATTTGTTTAAACTCACCCATACTTAAGATACCTTCCCCGACTTTATAGCCTTGAAAACAATTAACTTCACACCATGGAAGAGAACAGATTTGGGGCTTCCTTGAGTGCTGTCCATCAGGCTTACTGTTATACAGCCTAATCACACTGTGTTGAAGGACAAACTTTTTCATGGTATTTTCAACAACAGAGACATCCGTGTGATTTCTCAGACACCCAAAATAGCTCAGTGATAGACCACTGGTCAATAGACACTTTAAATTTAAGTGATGAGGCATTCGGAGTAAAGCACTGATCAGGTCCACCATCTTCCTGGGCCTTTGGAAGATCACGTGATCACAGAGGACTATATGTGTGCCCAGGAAAGACCAGAGGAGGTCTGAGGCTTCCACGTGTAGCTGACTGACAAGAGGTACTATCCAGGTAAGAAGTGAACACACACTTAACAAAGGAGATTTATCAGTTCAAAGTAGAAAAAACTTGTTTCAAATCTCCAACAGACTAAGCTAACACAATAGACTCCAGTGTGTTCACAAGACAAAGAATTCAGATACCACACTTGGACCAGCATCAACAAGAATAACCTGTAAGTCAACCCTGGAAGACTCTGAGTCACCGTACTACTTCAAATGCTCGGTTTTCATTAAAAAGCAGTGATATAATTGAATTCCTAAAGAAAATGTTGGATTGTGAACAAAGCTTTTTCTAGTCCCACTAGTTGCAGTCTCTTGTTTTTACCTGTCTCTTTTCTCGAAATTCCATCCCAGTTTTGGCTGAGTTAGTGAGGTTCTGTCTGATGATTCAATCTTTCTTGACAAACACTCATTACTACTTAATACTTGTTCCAACAGTCTTACATTTCCTACAGCAGAAAAAACACCATAAAGTCATTTTCCAAATTAGCTCATTTCTCCTTTACATTCCGTCCCCTCTACATCACACTACATGTGCACTCCACCTACCCTGAGCTTTTATGACCACTATCTACACACCTCACTCTATGACCACTATGGCTCTTTGCAAGTGTTCCCTGCATTCTATGTGTTGGAAACTTAATTCTCAAAGTTATGTACTAGTGGTATTTGATGGGGAGTCCTCAGGATGTGACAAGGTCATATGGACTCTGTCCTCACGAGTGGATTAGCTATCAAAGGAGCAACTCTTGTTGTAAGACCAAGCTTTCTCTGGCTTGCTTGCTTTCTTGCCATGACCCAGCAGACAATCAGAGCAAGCAGATGACACCCACTGTGGTGCTTTTGAACATCTGGAATGGTAAGTTAAATAAGCCTCTTTTCTTTATGAATTACTTAACCCATGGGGTTCAGTTATCACACTTGGAAAGGAATGAAGACAATATGGACATAAATATACTCATCAGGGCAGACAAAATATTTTCACTTTAATTTATTAAATATTAAGAGTTATAAAAAAATGGATTAATATGAGTAAAAGAACTAAGTTTATCTCTATCAGAGAGTAATGGTTTTTGTTTGTTTCAAGTCAGGGTTTTTCTGTGTAGCTCTGGCTGTCTTGGACCTTGTCTTGGAACTTGGAATTTGTTTTACTCTGTAGATCAAACTGAACTCAGAGATCCACCTGCCTCTGCCTCCCAAGTGCTGGAATTAAAGGTGTGTGCCACCATGCCCAGCTTGAGAGTAGGTTTTTAACCAAAAAATAAAAAGAAAGAAAGAAAGAAAGAAAGAAAGAAAGAAAGAAAGAAAGAAAGAAAGAAAGA